TTACTGTATGTCCTCACTAGGCTTGTGGGGCCAAGTTCAGGGTACAAAATAATGCCTTAACCAAGGCTATGTTTAGGGGGAAGTCATCCAGCAGTCTCTCCTGCTATGTTCCTGCTTCTACCTCCCAGCTCTTGCTGACTTTCTTGGTTCTCCAACTGGCTTGGTGACTGCTTCTCCCCCAACCTGTGGTCCTCTGGGAGTCCCCAGCGTCTCTTTTGCACTTCCATTCACCCTGTACTCATGAGTCACTGAGCTGAGACCTTGGGAACAGCTTCCACACCCAGGTTTCTGGGTTTCTGACTCACAAAAATTCAAATGAATGGCTCTGAAACAGACGCTGCATCTGGGGGTAGACACTCCACAGAAGCCCCAATGTCTCCTTGGAGAAACAGGCTGCCCAGCTCCTTATTATACTGTTATCTTGGGGGTAATTGTGAGTATGGCTAGACTACCGAGTGGGAAGCAGGCCCTGGAAAACTGCCTGGTTGTTCTAAAGAAGGTCCAAACAAAGCATGGTACATAGATTCCTTGGGACAATCTATGTTACCAGAGAACAATACAGAGTCTGGCTGGGAATGGGAGAGGGGTCAGGGGGATGATTTCAATCATTAACTCTGTCTTGCAACTCAGCAGTGGAGGCTTCTCCCACTTATGTGTTACGAGCTGCTCTAGTTTTCCTTAGTGGGCAACAATGAACTTGTTCATAATTCAGTCATATAAGCAGTAAGTCTCTTGCCAGACAAAGCGCACTCTTGGAAGGCCCTCAACTTTTTTACTTTGTATGCACACGGGACACATAGAGCCAGGCACACAGGACACAGGAATACATTACACACAGGGAGATGGGAACACAGACATACCCAAACAGACAGACATGAACAGATGGACATATACACGACAGATGAAATGTATATGCACATGTGCATTTAAAGCTGTAAATTTTATTCTAACCACTGCTTTAGCTGCAAACCACAACAGTTAATGTCTTGTCTTCATTATTTTCAGTTTCAAATATTTTCTAATTTCTTTTGTGATTTCATCATTGACTCATGGATAATTTAGAAGTTTATTTCCAAATATTTGGGGATTTGCTAGACACCTTATAGTTGTTAATTTCTAATTTAATTAGTGTGATCCAAGAACATAATCTGGATGATTTCAAATTTTGAAATATATCAAGACTTATTGTATGGAGCAGCATATGATCTACCTTAGAAAATGATTCATGTGCACTTGAAAAGAATGTGTATTTTAGAGTTTCCATAAATGTCAATTAAGGCAAGAAGGTCGACAGTGCTGTTCAAGTCTTCTATATCCTTATCTATTTTTTTTGTCTACTTCTTCTATTCATTATTATGAAAGTGGTATTAAATCTCCAACTACTCAGTCATAAAAGACCACATGTTATACAATTCCATTTATTTGAAACGTCCAGAACAAGCAAATATACAGAGATAGAAAGTAAAATAGTGGTTGTTTCTGTTGCTTATGGAAGGGGAAATGGAGGCTTGGGGATGACAATGAAAGGGTTTATGGTTTCTTTTTGAGGAGATCAGGAAGTTCAAAAATTGATTGTGGTTACAGTTGCACAATTCTGTGAATATATTAAAACCCATTGAATTGTATGCTTGAATTGTATGGGTAGATTGTATTGCACATCTTAATAACGCTATTTAAAAAAAAAATCTCCAGCTACAATTAAGGAGTTCTATTTCTTATTTTAGTTCTGTCACATTTTGTTTCATGTGTTTTGAATTTCTGCAAACAGAGCACATGCACTTAGGCTTGTTATGTCTTTCTGTTGAATTTCCTTTTTGATTATTATGAAATATCCCTCTTTATCTGTAGTAATAATCTTTGTCTTTTTGTCTATTTTGTTGGTAAGTGCTGGGTAATTTCTCTTCTGTGATAGATTGTATTTCCTTAAATGATCAGAATAATATCTCTCATTCCATATGCTCTTCTTACAATGTTACTTCAATATTCCTCCCACCAAAAGGTGGGATGTCTATGTTCCCTCCCCTTGAGCCTGGGTGGGGCTTGAGACTGCCCCAATCATGGAGTACAGCAGAAGTGATGCTATATGACTTCCGAATGTAACGTACACAAAAGAAACAACTTTTGCCTAGTGGGACACTCATCGTTGGAATTCAGCCACCATGCTGTGAGGAAGCCCAAACTATCCACATGGAGTGACCAGGTAGAAAGGTCCACATTGGAAAGAACTGATGCCCCCAGCTGACAGCCAGCATCAACTGCCAGATATGTCATAAACGTCTGATGATTCCAGCCTCAGACGTTGTAGAGCAGAGACAAGCTGCCCTAATGTGCCCTATTCAAAATCCTGACACATGGAACCTGTGAATATGAAAATGGCTATTTTACTTCACAAAGTATATGTGAACTGCTGTATGAAAAGTGAATTTACTCTGTAAATCTTCACCCAAATCCTAATAAAAAAAAAAAAAGAAAATGGCTATTTTACTTCACTAAGTTTTTGAGTAATTTATTATGTAGCCATAGTAGCTACAACACCTCTTAAAAATCGCAGTCCTGTGCTGTTGTTGAATGCTGAAAACAACTGCCTTACATATTTTGTCCTATGTTATTGTTATTTAAAGAAGGAAAGATAGTCACCAAACCAGAACTTGAACCTGAAGTTCTGTTCTCCAAAATAATTATAAAGATACTAATAACAACAACATTGATAGCAGTTACACTTTATAGACTGTTTTCTATGTACTAGGAGCTCTGGTGGCATAGTGACTAAGGCATTTGACTCCTCACCAGAAGGCTAGTGGTTCAAACCCACCAGCCACTCTTTGGAAGGAAGGTTGGAGAATCTACTTCTGTAGAGATACCGCCTCGGAAAGCCAAGAAGGGGTTGCTATGAGTCAGGATGGACTGCAGGGCAGTGAGTTTTTTTGTTTTGTTTTGTTTTGGTTTTCTATGTACTAGGCACTGTGTTGAGCATTTTACATACATTATCTCCATTAAACTGCACAGCAATCTTGTGAGATAGGCATTTCTACTCCCCATTTTATAGACAAAAAAAAAAAAATAATAATAACTGAGATTATTGTTGTTATGTGCCGTTGAGTCAGACCCGACCCATAGCGACCCCTCCTTGGGTTTCCAGGGCAGTATCACTACGGAAGAAGTTAAATGACTTGCCCATGGTTTGAATACACATCTGTCTGACATCAGAGCCCATATAAGGAACACATACTAAGAGACATCATAAACACATGCACACATGCATGCATAAGCATACAGAGACATCCACACACCCATTACATGTTTCCAGTTTCTTATGGTCTTAAAATATTTCTTGTTCTCAAATTTTAAAAAAATCCCTTCTCCCACTTATGTTCAATAGACTGAAAGAGACCCAGTGTGCTGGATGTTAAGTTTCCTGAGTATACCCCAAGGTGAAATTCTCTCCTTCTGGGACCACCACACGCATGGGCAGTGGAGAGAGTGTCTCTGTTCCCCTGCCAAGGACTGCCTGGGACCTGGACTTGTGGGGAGGTGGGGTGGGACTCTTAATGAGACTTGGCTTGGTAGGCAGAATCCTTCTCCTGGGGCCATGGGAACTCTGAACTGGATGTTGTAAGATTCTAAATTCAGAGAAACAAAGTGATTTCCTGATTGAGAAAAACTGACAGCACAGAGCAAGTGCTGGGAAGGGGAGAGAGCGGACGAGTTTGAGAGAGGATTCCCATGTGGAAGCAAGGCCATTTCCAAATATTCCAGAGCATTGACCAGAGGTGTCTGATGGAAGGAAGGGTGACTCAGAGAGATTCAGGGAGGTCCCTCCTCATTCTTCAGGGCTTCCAAAGTCAGCAGACCTTTCTGATGACCTAGGGAAGGGGAGTGAGGAGGAGGAGAAACTGAGACGCTCTTAACCGGCAGTTTTAGAACTGGAATGAAGCTCTTTGGGAGCGAGAGCCTTAGAACAGAGCCCTGGGTTCAGTCATTTAGAACTTGTTCACATCCCTTCCCATAAAATAGTGCAGTACTCAGTCCTATTGCTGAAAAGAGGTAGGTAGGTACACAAAGTGAGATGTTTCCTCAGGGAAGAAAGAAATGATGTTGCTGTTGTATTACTACAATCACCTTTTTCTAGAAAATAGACCCTAAACATTGACTCATCTCTAAAAAAAAGGAAAGAAAAATCTGTCACCTTCGCACTCACAGTGACCTCATGTGTGTACAACTGCACCCCCCAGGGGTTTCAATAGCTGATTTTTTGGGGAAGTAGATAGGCAGGCCTTTCTTCCAGGAGCTTCTGAGTGGATTCATACCTCCAAATTTCCGGTGAGCGGCCTAGCACTTAACCAGTATCACTGTCCCACCTCGCTCTCACAAAACGTTCCCCTGTGCAACCTATAGGAAGCAGTTGGGTCCGAAGGAGGAAGATGAAATGGGAAGTCTTTAAGGTTCACCTCCACCTCCCTGACTGCTTTTCTCAAGTTCAGTCCTGAAACTCTGCTTAAGGCTCCTTAGAGAAACCCTTGAGGGTAATACTACTCTTACGCAGTTCACAGATGAAGAAACTAGTTCTAAGCAGTTGGAATGGCTTGTCCAAGCGTGCCGGGCCACTCAGCAGTACCCTCTCGCCCGCACTAATTTAGGAGCTTTCACAGCGTCTGGTCTGAAGCTCGAGAGGTCTCAACGGGCATGGGATGAATGAATGCCAAGTTTCTCCAGCTCAGACCGCGAGGGGCAGTGACTCCGTGCCAAAGTGAGGTGAAGAGTTCCCTCTCAGCTCTAGCACGTCTGCTCCGTCTTGCCTCTGCCCTGCACCCTAGACAATTAATGCAGATCCCTGAGCCCGTGTGATGCCAATCCTGGCCTGGGGGAGAATGCTGTCCCAGGCCCTTTGTGTAAAGGGGAAGGGGGCAAGGGGAAGATAACGCAGACTATCAGCTCAGATGGGACGGCTGCAAAGTTCTGGAGAGTCTCGGGCACGCGGACCCCTCTCCGCCCGCACACACTGGGTACCTCGGCCTCTCTGCGCAGCTCCTCGCCTCCCGGCTCCGGTGGCTCCGCGTCCAGGCCGCCCCACATTAGCAGCTGCAGGGCGCGCAGCAGGAGGCCGACGCGTGCGGACATCTTGCTGTGCCTCTTGGCGAGGGCCGCCGGGGCGTGCGGAGCTACTACGCTCCGGGAACCCCGCTGGTGACCCTACGGATGCGCCGGCTCTGTGCCGCCCTGGCGCAGAGCGCGCGCCCTCCTAGGAAGGTCCCCGGGTGTAGCCGGCGCCCGAGCTCCGCGCGCTGAACTGCTGGTCTCGGGAGCTTCTCCGTGAACTGACTCGATGTCGTCCAGAACCGACAGTGCCCGCCCGCGAGTCCGCGGGCCGGCAGACCGAGGGAAGGAACCACAGAGGGCGGAGGGAGGGGCCGGCAGCCCGGCTTTCTGGCCCCACCCACCCCACTTGACTGCTGGAACGCGCCGCGGTCCTGGAATCACTTCTTTAGGCTGTACGGCTTCACCCGGCGCTTGCCACCGTCCTGAGGACCCCTACTCTCACCCACTACCTCCGGTTGATCCGGATCTCTCTGGAGAGGGCTGAGCAAGAAGGAGCCTCCCTTTGCGTTTGGCGCTACCAAAATCTTCGATGAAAAGGGTCGTTGATTGTTTCAGCCAGGCAGACTGGCAGGGAGTGAGGCCCTAGGGTGTGAGAGCGGGAGTCTGTTCCAGATCTGCTTCTTGTTAGCCATGTGAATTCTGCTTAGCCACTTGCTGTCTGTGTGGTCTTGGACAAGTCACTTACCCTCTCTGAACCCATTTTTTCTCACTGAATGGGGATTATAAGGGTACTGATAGATAGTATGTGATTGTAGAGAAGATTTAATCAGATAATAATGCCAGTAAATAACTGAGCAAGGTGCCTGTCTCAGTCTGGTGACTCAATAAGTGGTAGGCTGAAGCTGTGTGGCCTTTGGCAAAGGGTTCAATTACTTTGAGCCATCACTGTCCTCATTAATAAAATGAAGGCAAATGATATTTAGTTGTCAGATTTACATGAAGATGAGAAGAGTGTAACGTGCCTAACTTCATATATCCCACATAGTTTTTGTAATGATCAAGTGAGAGGATTTCTGTGGCAGCCTTTGTTAAAATCTTATTGGGGAAAAGTAAACTGTTTTTATTCTTTCTGTTGTCTGCCTTAACTGCCAGCAGGTTGCTGTTTCTCTTCTAGCCTCAGCTGATGATTTGTAAAATGCAAATGAAACAATGATATTTTTCTCTTGGAGTTGTGAGGATTAGAGAGGTTAATGTGTGTAAAAATAATTTTGAATCTATAAAGTGCTAAGCAAATGTAATGCAGTGTTTTTATCCTAAGGCTCAGGGCTCAGTTGCACACAGAGTGATTTTGTGCTATAGGTATGTGTCACTTAACGTCCCTTAAGGAAATGTTCATCAACGTCCCACCTTGCCACATACAGGCATATTTTGTTTTATTGCACTTCAAGATATTGCATTTTAAAACAAATGGAAGATTTGTGGCAGCCCTGCATGGAACAAGTCTATTGGCGTTGTTTTTCCAACAGCATGTACTCATTTCCTGCCTCTGTGTTACATTTTGGTAATTCTCATAAATTTCAGGTTTTTTTCATAATGCTATTGCACACTTAATAGTCTACAGTATCATGTAAATGTAACTTTTATAAACCAAAAAAAAAAAAAAAAAACCAAACTCACTGCCGTCAAGTCGAAGCTGACTCATAGCAACCCCTCCTTGGGTTTCCGAGGTGGTATCGCTATAGAAATGGATTGCCCAATCTTCCTTCCGAGGAGTGGCTGCTGGGTTTGAACCGCTAGCCTTGTGGTTAGCAGTCAGATGCCTTAGGCACTATGCCACCAGAGCTCCTATAACTTTTATATATACTGAGAAATAGAAAAAAAATCGTGTGACTGGCTTTATTTATTGTGATATTCACTTTATTGTGCTGGTCTGGAACCAAATCTGCAATATCTCTAAAGTATGTCTGCATCATATGTCTGTGGTACCATAAATTATTTGTTTATTTAAGGAAAAGCAGCTCTCTTTTTTTCTCCCTTACATCGTGATTTCAATGAAGATTTACGGAGCAAATTTGTTTTCCATTCAATTGTTCATACACATTTTGTTTCATGTCATTGGTTACAATTCCTACAATGCAACAGCTCTTTTCCCGTGTCCTTCCTGTGGTTACCTTTTCTTTGTGTCCTCCTTTCCTATGCATTCCTGCCCTCTGAGCAATCTCCTTGAGCAAATGCTGCCCTTCTGATCTCCCATGGTTGATTGTTCTAAGGAGTGTACCTCCCTGATGTAATTGTTCAACTCATAGGCCTGTCTCTTATTTGGCTTGAAGTTAAGCCACAGGAGTGCGTTCAATTCCAGGCCTGAAGAATGACTGGCGGCCATAGTCGTGGGGGATTCACCAGTTTTTATCAGTCTAGTAAGCCTGGTCTTTTTTTTTTTTTAATGATTTTGAGTTTTGTTCCAGATTTTTCTCCCACTCTATCATCAAGGTTCTACAATTTTGATCCCTTTCCAAGTGGTTGGCAGTGGTAGCCAGGTACCATCTGTTCTTCTGGTCTCGGAGTAATGTAGGCTGAGGTACTCATGGTCCACTAGTCCCTTGGACTAGTTGTTTCCATGCTTCTTTTATTCTCTTCACTCTTTGTTCCAGACAAGAAAAATTATTACATCTTAAATTACCTCTCGCAAGTTTTTAAGACCCCAGTTGCTACTCACCAAAGTAGGATGTAGAACTATGTTTTTGGGTAGTGTGTTATGCCAGTTGAGCTTGCTCTCGCTTGTAATCATATTCTTGAGCCCATGGTCCCAGTGACACACTCTCTCAAGGTGTTTGACTGTGGCTAAGAAGTTATCATAACTTTGCCCTCTGTTAGCTCTATTTTATATATATATATATATATATATATATATATATATATATATATACACACACACACACACACACATACATACACATTCTTATAGCACATAAGTGCCCAAAGGCACTTGACTGCTAACTAGAAGGCTCGCGGTTCAAACCCACCAGCCACTTCTCAGAAGGAAGATGGGGCAATCTACTTCCCTAGTGATACTGCCTCGGAAACCCAAGGAGGGGTCGCTATGAGTTGGGTCTGACTCGACGGCACATAACAACAACAACAATAGCACATAAGCTTATAGCTGGAGTAAGCCAGCAGGGTGCAGTGGAAGGTAGGTGTTTGGAACACCCAGGGGCAGTCTGGGGAGACCAGGAAGTAAGCAGAGCAGTTTGAAGCAAACTTGTCTGTCAGTTTGTCTTACTGTGGTGGCTTGAGTGTTGCTGTGAGGCTGGAGGCTATGCCATTGGTATTTCACATGCCAGCAGGGTCACCCATGGTGGACAAGTTTCAGCAGAGCTCCCAGACTAAGGCAGACTCGGAAGAAGGAAGAGGCCATCCACTTCTCAAAGAATTGGCCAATGAAAACCTTATGAATAACAGTGAAACACTGTCTGATATATTACTGGAAAACTTTATGAATAGCCCTGAAACATTGTCCAATATAGTGCCAGAAGATGAGCCCATCAGGTTGGAAGGCACTCAGAGTTTGACTGGGGAAGAGCTGCTTCCTCGGAGGAGAGCCAACCTTAATGATGTGGATGGAGTATAGATTTCAGGACCTCCATTTGCTGATGTGGCACATCTCAAGATGAGAAGAAACAGCTGCAACCATCCATTAATAATCAGAACATGGAATGTATGAAGATGAATCTAGGAAAATTGGAAGTTGTCAAAAACAAAATGGAATGCATAAAGATTTACATACTAGGCATTAGTGAGCTGAAATGAACTGGTTTTAGCCATTTTGAATCAGATCATATGATCATATGATCTACTACTATGCCAGGAATGGCAAATTGAAGAAGAATGGCATGGCATTCATCATCACAAAGAACGTATCAAGCTCTATCCTGAAGTAAGGTTTATATATGGAAGGAAACTTTCTTTGTTGGTTACCAGGGATGGGAGGGGAGAGGAGGGAATGCTGCAAAAAAAAAAAAAAAAAAAATTGACCTATGTCACTTTAGTTTTGTGTATTTCACTGCACATAAATTATATTTCAATAAAATGTATTTTTTTTTAAAAAAGATGTATCCTGAAGTGCAGTGCTGTCAGTGATAGGATAATATCCATACACCTGCAAGGAAGACCTTTATAACTTTAGTTATAGGAAGACCTTGAATAACTATTATTCAAATTTATGCACCAACCATCAAAGCCAAAGATGAGGAAATTGAAGATTTTTACCAACTTATGCAGTCTAAAATTGACCAAACATGCAATCAAGATTTGTTAATTATCACTGGTGATTGGAATGCAAAAGTTGGAAACAAAAAGAATTACTGGTAGTTGGAAAATATGGCCTTGGTGATAGAAATAATGCTGGAGATCACATGATAGAATTTTGCAAGACCAATGACTTACTCATTGCAAATACCTTTTTTCAATAACACAAATGGTGGCTATACATGCTAGATGGAATACACAGGAATCAGATTGACTGCATCTGTGGCAAGAGGCGATGGAGAAGCTCAATATCTTTAGCCAAAAGAAGGCCAGGAGCTGATTGTGGAACAGACTGTCAACTGCTCATATGCAAGTTCAAGATGAAGCTTAAGACCATTAAAAGAAGTCCACAAGAGCCAAAATATGACCTTGATTATATTCCTTTTGAATTTAAAGACGATCTAAAGAATAGATTTAATGCATTGAACACACCAATGACTGAAAACCAGAGGAATTGTGGGATGACATCAAGAACATCAACCATGAAGAAAGCAAAAGGTCATTAAAAGGACAGGAAAGAAGACCAAAATGGATGTCAGAAGAGACTCTGAAATGTGCCCTTGAATGGAGAGGAGCTAGAGCAATTAGAAGAAATGACAAAATAAAAGAGCTGAACAGAAGATTTCAAAGAGCAGCTCAAGAAGACAAAGTCAATTCTTATAATGAAATGTGCAAAGACCTGGAGTTAGAAAACCAAAAGGGAAGAACACACTCAGCATTTCTCAAGCTGAAAGAACTGAGGAAAAAATTTAAGCCTTGAGTTACAATATTGAAAG